GGTTAACTCACATGCTACTAATTATACTTTTTAATTAAGTTACATTTTTAACTGTGTCATCAATCAATTCTTAGAAATTTAATTTTCTGTAACAATGGCTTTAGGAAACTGGTACCATCTACAGACAGAATAGCCATTAGCATATGTAAATGGAAAAACATGGAAAAGAAGATGAGACCTGTCTGTGGGCTCTGAAATTATCAATCTCCAAGACAAGATAAAAGAACAACTTCCCTGTGGGAGACAATGACTTACATCTTCATGATAGTTATTTAATGTCAATGTACTTTATTCAGATAATAAATAAGAGGAGTTCCTCTGAGCCTGATTGCTTGTATAATGTGTTCACATATATAATTATAAAGAGAATGAAAAGCCAAGATGGTGTGTGAGGAAGCAAACTAACTTCACCACCCACCAGCTCTTCTCATATTGTTGGCTGGTCACCTGGGCACCTGGCAATGCGTCTGTGGCTGATACAGAGTTTTTCACCTGCAGGCTGTATTACGACACAGTTGTGAACTTCATTTCTTTAACAAAACAATCTTTAAAAAAAAATCCATTTATTTATTCCTAACAGAACGTTATTAGTACATACCTAAAAAGGGTGCAATAACCCCTAATTCAGGAAATTAAAAGAACCTTTAAGGACTGACCCCACAGGACAATTAACTACAAGTTAGATAGCCACCACTGCCTTCAGCAGATTGCAAGTGGGATTGAATCTGCTTTAAGATAAGAATACAATAATCTTAACATCCCAGTTCTGAAAGCCACACAGTACCAGATGTTTAAGACATACAAAAATAAATAAGATGTTAACATCCCCAAAAGCTGTTTAACTTCCAGTGAAGAGCTAGGTATTTATATTTAGCTACAGAGTCGACATTTTAAGAGTCTGGCCCACAGTCCACACAGTGTGAGAGTCAGTACAAAGCTAGTGTATCATTTAAGTCCTATTATCCATCCATCTGTAACTTTAATGATGCACAAGCCTCATGCTGACTTCTCCTGCAGAAATGACTCTCATGCTGCATTCCTTTCATTTCTACACTACCAAGTTATGCAGGTACACATCAAATGTGCAAAAAAGGGTTTTGGAAACTCAGGCAGGGGAAAAACAGTGAATAGCATACAACATCCAAATCTAAAAGCTGTAAGTATAGGATCCTTTTCCTAACTTCCCCCTTTGGGAAACATGCATGACAAGAAGTTATGACTGACAAACAGGTTATTTCCAAATATGAAGCCTTTGTTCTTTGTGAGCAATCACCACTTCCTAGTGAAAACTGGGCAAATTGGCAAAAGTGTTTTGATGTAATATCGTAGTATTTTCCTAGGGAGTTAGAATGTTAGTACAGAGCAAAAGTACTCTGTCTCCCCTGGAAAACAGTTACAACTGACACAGCGGTGTTTTGTGGAACGCAGGGCCAAACACTTAGTAAAAATCTTATTGTACGGGGGCTCGTTGGGATGGAGCTAACTTTCTTCATAGCAGCCCACATGGTGCTATGTTTTAGATCTGTGACCAAACCGGTGTTGTTAACACATCAGTGTTTTGGCTGTTGCTGAACAGTGCTTGCATAGTGTCAAGGCTCTCTCTCCAACTACCCCACCAAAGGCCGGTAGGCTGGGGGTGGGCAAGAGGTTGGGAGGGGACAGCTGGGACAGCTGACCCCAACTGGCCAGAGGGTCCATATAATGTCATGTTCAGCAATAAAACTTGGGGGCAGTTTTTCCAAAATAGTCTTTGCTCAGAGACTGGCTGGACGTTGGTCAGCTGGTGGTGAGTGAGTGCTTTTGCATCACTCACTTTTTTTCCTCATTTTCCCCTTTGCTTATTAAACTGTCTTTATCTTGACCCACAAGTTTTCTCACTTTTGCTCTTCTGATTCTCTCTTGCATCCCGTTGGGGGAGGAATGAGTGAGCAACTGGGTGGGAGCTTAGCTACCAGCTGGGGTCAACCCACCACACTTATCTAAAAGTCTTCTGTACTTCTAGCTTCCATGTTTTATTATTCAAAATTCCCAGCCTCAGAAGAAGTCATGATAAAGCTGTCAGGGACCACAGACTCAGGAAACCTGGTCTCCTAAGCAGCCTGCCAGGCAAAGAACCAGATTATTACTTCACTGAAATTTCACAGGAATGAAGGTATTTTTCATCAGGACAAACTGTTTTGTCAGAAGTTTTGCCAACCTGCTCTAATTTGAACTAGATTTTTCTTGTGCCATGCATTCACAGACCTCCTAGCAGGAGAAGGAAGGAGCTGAAAATAGGCACAGCTGGGGACCTAATTACAGCATAATTGCCGACCTGTCCATGTTGATATTTTGGGGAGCCTTAGAATGAATACAGCGTAGTTATCTGTACCTCACTGGAGTTTATGTCATCCCCTCAGAATATTTCATCTGGCTTTTGGCCAATAAAATCCTGAACCCACTGCTATCCCACCCACACCAGATATGAAGAAGAACACAGTGATGTCCTGTGGTGTGATTTTTCCCCTTCCATACATTTCTGGATGTAAAAGCCAATAACAGTTCTAACAAAGCAGTCACTACACATTATGCATCTCCTCATGAATCACATACAGAAACAATTAATGAAGTTGCTTTTGAAACAGATATGCACATGAGAATATGCATTCATTACTAATGAACATGGCAACAGATGCATGTTTAAGATGATAAACTGGAACTGAAATATGTGTACCCAAAGTTGAAATCAGGGATATAACCAAAAGATTTCACAGACAGAGAAGTATATAGCTATCTACAAACAAAGGTTCAAAACAGATTTTAATAAAGATATTTTATTTTACCGCATAAATCAGAATCAAAGAGTTTTGACTGAGTAGAGACAACAGAAAACTTGACAGTTACTTCTAGCCCCAAAACACTTCAGATGCAGTAATACTCACCAAGGTTTGAGCTTTGCTCTTGTATCTGCTAGAGGTGCTATCTTATAGGTACAATACTTAGAGATAATAACCAGGGGAGCATGACCTCAGGGTTTGCTGGGGAGATAAATTCCTGTGATAATGTTTGTGAAAAACTCATAACAGTGTGGTTTAGTACTAATACTTTTCAAAAGGCAAAAATCTATTATTGCTCTCATCAAAGGTAATATCAAAATTATTATTTTTAGCATAGAAAAAAGTATATTTTAAGTAATGGAGAAGTCAGTGGTATATTCACAGTATGGCTCAATCAAGACACTACAGGAATAATCAATTACAAAAAGAAGTAACAGTTTACAAATCTTTAATCCTCTTAAACCTTTGTTGTTCAATTTAAAATAATTCCTTCATAAATAACAGTATGTCAAACTAGACATAAAAAGTGTGTAAGCCTGTAAGTTTAGGATATACTTTTCTTCATCTAGAAGAGCCCTTTAAAATCTTCTTTTTTCTGTCTTTCATTCAACAGCTGAAGAATTGCAAATATTTTCTATCAGATCAAAGTATTGAAAAATTTTCATACTTAATTGTGAGTTTTTAAACAAAGTTTTAGATTTTCCCTGGAATTCCAACCTAAATGCAACCCAAAACCTCAATAATGAAACTGTTCAGTGTGGCATATTAACAAGCTAAAGATAATACATGGGGTCAGTCCTTCCTGAAAGATATCTATTTTAGCTAGCTGTGCATTTTTTCCCAAGGGGACAGTGACCCCTTCAGCTATTTCCAGTTTCACTCCAAAGCCATTTTTTTGCATACATAAGAAATACGAAGATGTTCTTTTGTTCAACTTTGCCTTCTCTTATATCTGTGGTGTGTGCTTGTGCCTCTTCTCATATATATAGGTAAAAGATACTCTTAGACTCATATAGCAGATAAAGGACTTACCCATTGCAATATTCAAATTAAGGCTATCATGTCCATAAATGGCACAGCAGGAGAACAGTTTTCTTTTATAAGGGACTCCATAAAAGGTAGAGGCAAAGATCACTAAAATATGTAGAATACTTTTACAGGGGCACCAGAGACTGAACAAAATTTTATCCCCAGTGAAGTCAGTTGCTGCTGGTGTTGTCATAAAGACAAGCAATGACTAGAATATCTGCTTCCTTTGGAGCAATAAGAGCTGAATGGCACGATAAGCTGTGAAGTACCACATTGCTTCATTCAGTGAGCGGGTTCACCCATCTGCTGAGCCCTGTGTTAGAATCCTTCATCAACACACTGTTTTTCATCAGTGCTGGAATCAAACTGCCACGCAGTCCGCTCATGCCCACGGCCGAAGGAAAAGACGATCAGGAAAACATGCACCCTGGAGCAACATTCTGCATTTGACTTGGTCAAGAAAACAAGCCAGTTTCAAAGCCATCATTATTGTCTAAAGATCATCATTAAAGCTGTTCTTTAAATTGCATCCTTCACAAGAAGCTACTTGTGCTTCAAATCCTTACAGCATTCTTCATGCTTTCTGCATTTCTACTTAGTCCTATTTAGAAAGACCTTTTGACATATGTGAAAAGTTGTCATAGAACTTTAATTTTTTTTTTTTTAAGTATAAGGTCCTCAACTAGTTAAATACTGACACCTAAGTAAAAGAATGTTATAATATATAAGGAATGGTTTTCACATCTACCAAGTATTCAGACTTTAATAAAAGTCCATTCCAATTACAGCAATTCAGCACATTATGTTTTTTCTTTCTAGGAAAATGAAATCACTATATAGGGTGACCTCCATGTCCAGTCATTGCTTTTACCTAGATCTATTTTAGAAAGTCACACAAAATCAGAGCTATTCCTATACATACAGTAAGAGGTCTTGTCTGAGTGACTTCAAAAAACCTGTCTTTAAACTGAGTCATAAAAGAAACAAAAATACTGTGTTGTCTCACATCTCATATTTCATGGGGGATTTTTAGTTAATGGGATTTGTAGTCTTCAAGATTCTTCCAAATATCCTGTTCTTTAAATGATGGTAATACTTCACTCCATAATTGCTTCTCCTGAACCAACCTAAATACCAAGGTGTGAGAGGGGGAACATGTCGATACTGTTTGTGGCAGGTTTGTGGTAGCTCCTTAAAGAATCTGAGGATCCTCCAGAAGAAGGTGTTTAGAAGGGAGGAAGAATTATTTCTGCAGAAATGCAGAAATTATTTCTGCAGAGCTGCAGCTCTGTACACATGATTTACATGAACTGGAAAGTTTGTAAGCAAAATGTTTGTTCTTACATTTCTGTAGAATTTGGGCCTAAAGCGCTCTCTCTACTTGATAAAACATGACAGAATTTATCCTTAAGATATTTTGTTTGCAGCTACTTCTAGAGGCAACTGACCTTTCTGTCGGAAAGGTTCTCTTATCTTCTACATTTTTACGGAGGAACATACGCAGAAGACCAACATTTTAATAGGATGAAAACCCTATCCTACCAGTAACAAAAACGTAGGTTTTATTTTGTTATCATGCTGCTATGAGCAATGACTACATCCAGGGTTTTTGTTTCTATTGTATTGTTTTGTTTTCTGGAGTGTGTGTTTGAATAACCCATGATAGCAGAGCTTTAAAAAAAAACAAACAGATGTTTTTATTTTCTGGTGCAAATGGGTCTCAGCGGCTTTCAGCTATCTCATCTAGGGTTTTTTAAATGGCTTTAATGTTTATTCAGTAAGCTTTTATGGAACTCTTTACTGAAAACTACCTCTAGAACTACAACTGAAATAACCACGAACGTGCACGCCCACACGCACACACATGCAGCCCTCTCAGTCCTGCAGAGTTACAGTGTGAGACATCTTCAATCACGTCCACAGTGCCAAACCGTTGTGCTACAGAGCGTAAGGTTAATGCAGAGCCAAGGTCGGAGAGCACGTCTTCGTACTGAACTGCTGACAAAACACGCCGCTCCCAAGCAGCTGGGAATTGTTTCTCTAAATAGTTTTGATGATTTCTATTAATCAGTTGACTCCTCTAGAGCCCAAGGGTTACAGTTACAAAAACTTCATGAGAAAGTAAAACAGTATATTCTTTGTGCCTGTATTAGTGAAAATCTACAAACCCTGTCTATTGATTTATGATCAGATTATTTAAAAACAAGCACTTTGCAGGTATATTCCAGTACTTTGTCTTCATTCAAGGAGATATGCCTAGACCATCTATTCCTATTCTGGAATCTTTAAGAAAAATCAATCAAATGTATAAATAGTGTTAAAACTAATGAATTTGCACTTACACATTAAGCTCACAGTGAACTGTAAGCAATTTTTTGCGTTCATTGAAAAATGTGAATTTTGCCATGGAACAAGACACAAGGTCTCATATGTGAAGCTTCATTATTGTATTTACACATAGCAATGTTTTTCACCATTTTAAGTCACTAATATGCCCTATTAGACTGACAATATCTTGTTAGCTACATTTTAGTTTTGCTTAGATAAATTTCCACAGATTGGAAAAGTAGCCTTAATATTTACTGTACAGAGAATAGCTCCAGAGTGAAATTACAGCTGAAAGAGAGGGCTGCTGGATTGACAGCTTTAATGGTTTTATTCCAGTGGGCACTGCAACTGCAGTGCTTGAAACTTGGAAGATTTTTTTGTAGAAACTTGAAGATTTTCATAGAACATTAGCAAGATTGCTGTGCAATAACTGATAATGCTTTACTCAAGCTACTGGAAAGTCCAGAAATAATTGTAGAAAGTACTAAAGATGTTGAATTTTCAAAATCTAACAAAGCCAATTAAATAATTTGGAATGAACTCTCTTTGGTAGAGGAAGATCAGGTTAGGAAATATTTAAACAAACTGGACATAAACAAATCTTTGGGACTGGATTTGTGCTGAGGGAGCTGGCCAATGTCTCAATTATCTTTGAAATGTCATCACCATCAGAGGAAATGCCTGAGGTTGGGAAGAAAGCAAATGTCTCCACTGTCTTCAAGAAGTGCAAAAACGACAATCTGGGAACCACAGACAGGTCAGCCTCACCTTGAATCATGGGAAGGTGATGAAGCCAACCATCCTGGAAACCGTTTCCAAACACAGTAAGGACAAGAATGTGATTGGGCATAGTCAGCAGGGATTTATGAAGGGGAAATCATTCCTGACATACCTGATGGCCTTGTACAGCAAAATGACTAGTTCAGTGGAAAAAGAGAGAGCAGTGTTTTTTGTTTATCTCAACTTTAGCAAAGCTTTCAATGCTGTCTCCCTTTACCTTCTCATAGACAAGCTGATGAAGTACGAACTAGATAAACAGACAGTGATGTGGACTTAAAACTGTCTGGACTGCTGGGCTCAAAGGGTTATGATCAGTGGCACAAAGTCCAGATGGATGCTAGTGATTAGTAGTGTATCCCAGGGGTCAATACTGCGGCTAATACTGTTTAATACCTTCATTAATAACCTGGATGATGGGACGGAGTGCACTGTCAGCAACTTTGCAACTGGGAGGAGTTCTTGATGGACCAGATGTTTGTGCTGCCATTCTGAGGGACCTAAACAGGCGGGAAAAAATGGGCAAATAGGAATTCCATGTTCAACAAAGGGAAATGCAAAAGTCCTGCCCCTGGGAAGAATAATCCCATGCATGGGGTGCAGGGTGGGGACCAACTGGTTGAAAAGTGGCTTTGCAGAAAGGACCTGGAGGGCCCTGGTGAAGAAAAAGTTGGACATGAGCCAGCAATGTGCCCTTGTGGCAAAGGCAGCCAACAGCCTCTGGGCTGCATTAGGCAACGTGTCACCAGCAGGTCAAGGGAAGTGATCCTTTCCCACTACTTAGCACTGGTGAGACACACGTGGAGTGCTGGGTCCATTTCTGGGCTCGCTGGTACAACAGACATATGTACGTACTAGATTGCGTCCAGTGAAAGGACAGGAAGATGATTAAGGGATTAGTGCATCTGACATATGAGGAGAGGCTGAGAGAGCTGGGACAGTTCAGTCTGAAGAAGGGAAGGCTCAGGGGTGATCTCCATGTGTAGCGATATCTGACAGAGGAGGAGTAAAGAAGACAGAACCAGACATTTTTCAATGGTGCTCATTTAAAGGACAAGAAGTAATGGGCACAAACTGAAATACAGGAAGTTCTGTTTAAACAAAAGAAAAAAATTATTTACTGTGACAGTGGTCAAACACTGAAACAGTACTAAAAGGTCTATTTCTCTCCTTTGCTCAGTGCAGCCACTTCAGAAGCCTTTCAGTCTTTGGTTTCTGCAGGGGCATTCAACTGAGCATTATCCTCTTCAAACCCATGGATCTAGGAATCTTTCCAGAGCAGGCAATCTGCAGGACTGCAGGTAATAAGGACAGGAAGACTGAATGCTCTCTACAGCTACCTGAAAGGAGGTTGTAGTGAGGTGGGGATCGGTCTCTTCTCCCCAGTAACAAGTGATAGGACGAGAGGGAACAGCCTCAAGTTGCACCAGGGGAGGTTTAGATTGGATATTAGGAAAAATTTCTACACTAATAGGGCAGTGGAACAGGAGAACAGGAAAAAAAAAACGGTAGTGGCATTGGAACAGGCTGCCCAGGGAAGTGGTTGAGTCACCATTCCTGGAGGTATTTACAAGATGTGTAGATGTGGCACACACAGGCATGGTTAAGTGGTGGACTTGGCAGTACTAGGTTTACAGTTGGACTCGATGATCTTAAAGGTCTTTTCCAACCTAAATGATTCTATGATTCTACGAACTGGTTCCATGGTGCTACCTATGTTCTGCGATAAGGCCGAGGACTGAAATGCTGGACAATACTTCCAGAGCTATCAGTGTAACTTTTTTGTGATTCACAAAAGCTACACAAAGAAAGAACTACAATTTTCTTATGGAGGGCTTAAAAGACCTTTGCAGAGAGTTGATAGTATCAGGTGATATAGGTCACGAACACAAAAAAAAACCCTATATATTAAAATTTCGTGTCTGTAATGTGACTTACACTGAACACAAAATTGCATGGCATCATACAGTAAGAATTCTGCTTAGATGCTTTAGACAGATTTACAGTTTAAACCATAGGACAAAACAATAAACCTCCTGTATCCACCAATATCATTATATATCCTTTATACGTAAAAGGCATATGTGTATGTATTTACACATACACACAGAGGTATATTCTTCATACGCATACATAAACATATATATATACACACATATAAGTTATGACAAACTGCTCCAGACCAGCACTGGAGGGAAGCCCAGAGAACTGGAGATGAAATTTAGTATGAGAAGAAAAAAAGCAAAAGGAAAATTTGGGGAGTTTAACTGTTTTCTATTTGTACACTAAATGCTAGTCAATGGTGTGGAATATTGAAAATTGCCCTGAGCTTTGCTAGGCAGACAGAATAGAAGGAAGCAGTGGGTAATTTGTAGAGCTGGCCAGAAAACAAAATGTTTTAAAATTTCCACAAAATGGAGGGAAATGTTTTAAAGAATATTTGGCAATTCCTTTTCCTGCTTGCCTTTTTCCCCCCAGCAAGCTTATTCTGGTCACTACTATGTCTACATATTTAAGTGCATGAGTACACACATACACACTAAGGAGATTAGATCACTCAAACAAGATGAGAAATCCCAGATGTAAGCCATGGATGTTCTCCATTTATACGTAAAAGACAACCCCTTGGGGAATCTACCCACTCTTCAATTGCAAAACATTTAATGGTGCAGAGAGGATGTGGATCTTGATCCTGCAAACACTTAAACATGTGCTGCAGTGTAAGCTGTTACATAGTCCAAAGAAGTCAAGTGTGTAAAGCTAAGTACATAATTTAGTTGCAAATTGAAGGTCTTAAAACACTGCAGAATGTATGGCTTTTAAAACATCCACTATTTTTTTTCCTTAGCAATACTTCACAAAGCAAGAAGAGATAATCACAGCTTGAAATCTTTTAGCAGAATTCTTGTAAAACCAAAGATTACACTCAGAAGGGGCAACTGTCATAACCTTTATGTTCACAGATGCTGAAAAAATGCTGGTGGTCTAGGGATTATCTTCAAATACACAATGCTAAGGCTCCAGTCGAACAGCAGGACGTCTGTTCTTAGTGGGGCTGTAAGTCTGGAAACA